TGCCAAAGGCTACCTGGACTACAAGATTGCAGAGGCTCACGGCAAAGGTGACGGCTGACAACCAGGGGGAGAAGATCGAGCAGGCCGAGCGGGATAGGTGGGTGAAGGAGTTGCGCAACCGGCTTCACGAAGCAGGTTATCCCGGGAAGCAGGACAAGGAGTTCGAGGCCATGGAGTACGTCGCAAGCCGCTATGCGATGGGAAGGCGGGCGGCCAGGATCCGCCAACGCGTTCGACACGCCCGGAGGATCCAAGAGTACATGGAAGCGGTCCATGGAGTTCAATGGCTTCGGCATCCAAAGGATTTGATGCACTACATCAATGCTCGACTTGAAGAACCTTGCGGCCGAAGCGTGCCGGGGTCTTTATAATACAAGGCCCTGGTGTTTGTTGAGAATGCAGCTGAACTCCCACAGGAGCGGAGGTTGTCGACCTCGATGGCATTGCATCACTATTTGCTGGAGGTCGAGAAGAGCAGCATTTGGGGGGCTACAACGAAGCAGAAAGCGTCTCGGCTGCCGCTGGAGGTTCTTCGATCGTGGGAGGAAGGGGTTATGAACACGAGCCTCCAGAAGTACAAGAGGGTCTTTTGCTGGTTTAAGCTTTTGAAGCTGTGGGGGGCCCTCCGTGCGCACGACACGGAGGGGGTCCCCCCAGCGACTTTGACCTGGGAGCTTGGGATCGGACTTCAAGGAGACATCATGAGGAGCAAAACTACGGGGGCCGGCCGTCGAGTAGAAGTGGTTCAGTTTCACATCTCGGTGCACGCATGGGTCTTCGAGAGGGATTGGTTGAGGGTCGGCTATGAGCTCTTCCTCACGATGAACAAGTACTCCAGATCCGAGAGCAGGGATTTCTTGATGGCAAGGCCCAGTGACAACCTCCACGGGTTTGGACAGGCTATGATGAGGTACCCGGATGCCATGTCCTACTCACGGGCTTTGCTTTCGGAGCTGCCGTCCTTGCTGCAGAGAGACGGCAAAAGACGCCTGCTCATGAGCCCGGAGGGAACAGGTCACTGGTCAGAGCGGGTGACCATGATGTCTTGGGCATTGGTTGCAGAGGTGCCGAAGGAGGTCAGGCGCCGTTGGGGAAGGTCGTCGATGAGGACAATGCGGTCACGACCAAGAAGGTGGTGCTCACGGCACAGGGCGAGGTGGCTCAGAAGATCAGGGGAAGCTATAAGACTTCAGATCTCCTGGACGACAAGTCGGCGATCAACAATTAACTACATCAGGTGGCTTCAGGAGAACTATGACAAGAGCTTGGAGGAGGCCACGGACATGGCGATGCCTTTGACGCCTCCGATGTGGTTCTGAAACCTGGACCTGGGGGCCGCCAGGAGGGCGGGGCATTGCCAAACTTCCCCGGGTTCGAAGCCGCCTTCGCCGACTGAGGTGATCAGTGATGTGGAAGAGGAGCCAGATCACAGGCCGGAGAGCTTGTACCCGAAGGGCGCCTACATCATGTCGGTGTTGGGCCGTTCTCGCCGACGAACTTTGCATCGGGTTGGGGAGTGCTTCAGGATCCCAGGTGTGCACTACCACAACTTCGTGGTGGTGGGTCAGGAGAGGCCGGAGATCAGGGCATCAGAGGGCGAGAGGCTCTGCGGGGTTTGCTTCGGCTCAAAGGCCAAGCTTGATGGCGGAGATCCTTCGGGGCAACGATGGAGAGGAGGAGGGCGCTACCTCGGAATCCTCATCCTCAGTGATGGAGTCCTCGGAAAACGAGGCGTGACTGGAGGTGCACTTGACTGGAAAAGGACGTGGGGTGTCTTAGGCGGGCCCTCTGGGCACCAGGTTGGGTTGGTCCCCCTCCCCCACCTCGGGTTTCGGGTTCGCGTTTTGGGGACGTGGTTTCGGGTCGTCACTCGTGATCGGCGCTCACGGCTCGAGGCCTGGGAAGGGGGTCAGGGCAGGAAGCCCGAGTCTGGAGGACTCTATAGAGGCGGAGCACCTCTCACCGCTCGGAGGGCGGCAGAGCCATGATGGCGCTCACGGAGGATGAGAAGATCGGGAATATCAACCCAGATCTACAAGGGCTTCTGGAAGCCCGCTCGGTGGACAAGGCGGTTCAAGCAGGACTCCACGACTTGGGGGTCACGTCTGTGGCTACTTAGGGGGCCGCCCACTTATAAGTCCAGTTATAAGTATGGCAAGTGAGGTTATAACGTCTCTAAGTCAGGCCCTAACGTATGTAAGTTCATGGCAGGTTAGTGGACTTAGGTCCGGACTTAGGTAGAGTTATTAAGTTATGTATAAGTTATGTTAAGTGCAATGAGCGAATCTATAGTTCGGACTTAGCGGAGTTAGCCATACTTAGCGAACCCATAGAGTTTGAAACCGTTTTGCCGGAAGTGCGCGCAACACACATGGAAAAATCAAGAATACAGTGTGCGTGACCGACGCTTGGCCGGAGCGCCGCTTGCTGGCAGACTGTCAGTTCGCTTTGGACGCTTGCGGTCTACTGCTGGCCCCTGCTTCCCGCGTGGAGAGCGCGCTGGGCCTATTGGGGCCTCTGTAGGACAGCCTATGCCATCTGCACTGGTGGGATCGCCATCTGGACGGGCGCCGCTGGGATCGGCTCCATCTGGACGGGTGCTGCTGGCGTCATCTGGACTGGTTGCGCCATCTGGATAGGCACTGCTGGGGCAACAGGTTGCGCCAGCTGTTGGGACAGGTGTCATTTGGACAGGTTGCGCCATCTGAAGAGGATCCATCGCACGCGCCATCTGGACAGGCCCCGTTGGGACTGGCGCCATCTGGACAGGTTGCGCCATCTGCAGAAACTGCGCCGTCTGAAACCTCTCCATCTCGGTCAAAACCTCTTGCTCAAAGAAATCCACCTGCCAGCTAGCATGGACAGCGCAGAGCGCAGAGTAATTGAAACCAACAACTATATTTCACATTAAGTCGACAATCGGGGCCGCCTGTGTGTCGCCCGCGGTGGCCACAGTTGGAAGTACAGCCCGCGAGGAGAGAAAAGGAATGACGAGCGAGTGTCTCGCAAATGTCTCGTAGGTCGAACAGGGGTCAAGGCTCCGCTATGTCTCGTGATGTCTCGCAATAGGACAACAAAGGTGGGACGTCTACAAACATATATAGTGAGATGTTTCGTGATGTCTCGTAGGTGTCTCGTGGACTCCAGCACAACGTCTAGATTCAGGTGTTTTTTTTGGGGGGGCGGGCGCGCAGTCGAGCTCAAGAGAACGAGGCGTATAGACAAGACAAGTGTCCCTGGCGGACTCGCAAGCACCGCAGTGGCGCGGAATCCTTCGACTGCATCCACTGAGTGAAAAAGCGTGGCGAAAGAGCGCGAGGGATACGTATATATACATTGCGTATTTGATGGTGCGTTGACCGCTCTGATACACTTTGCAACATCGAAAACAAGAAAAAAACATACGTGATAAGTTTTTTTAAAGAAACAAGGCTGTTGAACTTATGATCGATTACACGGACTTAATGACCTTACATGACTTAGGCCTAAGTGGACTTACATGGGCTTATAGATAAGTTGCTACAAGTCAAGTTATAAGTAGGCGGCCCCCTAAGTATGCTGGCCGCCATCGCGGTCGACCGGAAGACATTGGCCGACTTGGCCAAGGATGGGCTTGGGTTGGACACGGACGTACGTCCAAAGGATGCCATCAGGCTGGCTGCTTTGTACTTGGCATGGCAATCAGCGGGAAAGAGGATTAGCGTCCAGGACGAGATGGACGCCGAAGCAGCGGTGCATGAGATCCCGAAGACGGTTCCTCCAGTTGACCTACAACTCTACAGGAAGGAGTTCGAGAAGAAGTTCTACAAGTTGAAGGATGGCGAGTGCCCTGGTAAACCAATTTCGAGGACCTTTGTGAACAGTTGGATCAGGGCGAGTTCCGGGCTATGGCACTCCGCCATTTCGGGTCAAGGAACGAAGACGAGGAGGCGGAGACGGGCAACCTGCTGATGGCGAAGTCGGGGCAGGTGAAGATCAAGAAGGCAAGGGTGGAAACGAACAACCCCGGCAACATGGAGGAGTTCAGGACGAAGATCATGCTGATGACTAACCATTTCATCTTTGCAAGGTTCAGGTATCCCCATACAAGGTGAGACCCGGAAGTTATTGAAGTTAACTGGAAGTTATATAAGTTATTTTGAAGTTAGTTTTTAAAAAACAATGAAAATTACTTCGAGATAACTTCCAGATAGCTAAAACACTTTCCAAAATTAGACTTTTGGGAAAATGTATGTTTATGTACAAAACGAGCAAATTTGTGTATGTTTTCAGCGTGGACTGTATGCACTTTTCGTTGTTTCTTGATACTTTAGGCTATAATTTTCTGCACAAGTACATATATATATATATATTTTTTTTTTGAATATTTTTGGATCGGCTGAGGGGCAGGAAGTTCTCCCCCATTCTTTTGATATAGCCTTTGATATATATGCGTATATATATATATATTACTATATATACACCGACCGCGCGCGCTCGCGGATTGTTTTTCGCGCGTGGGACTCCTCCATCGCGCGGTACCCTGCCGCGGACTTTGTGGTCTGCCGCGCTCTGCGCCGCGGCGGCTGCGGTTACCCAAGCAGCACGCACGCTGTGTTCCCTAGACAGCCCAATGTGGCGGTCAGGCGTACATAATACACCTAAAGGCAAAATAAACGCCTGCAGGCGTTTCCTCCCTTCAAGAAACACCTGAAGGCGTTTCTTTCCAACAAAGGCGCCATGTTAACGTAATGGCGGCTTTCGAGACGGCAGGGCGCATGTATTGACAGACTATCCTGACAAACGCTGCCTGACATGGGCGCGGCGACCGGGCAACAAGCCTTGACGGCAACCGCTTGAGCCCAAACTGTTATATAATATATATATATATGTGTATATGGTTCTGAACTAATTTTTAAGCAAGTGTCCCTTCTTTGGGTGCCTATGCGCCTGGTATTGCGCAAGTGAGAATCGAGGTGTGCGTTTCCCGAAAAACACTTTGGTTTTGGTTTCGTTTACATAAAAACACCGTGTTTTCACGCGCGCGTTTCCCTGGAAACACTTCCATGTGAGTTCTAAAGTGAGCGTGATGTTTTCCACTCTATTTCTTTCGCCACTGTAGCGCTCTCTTCAAAACGTAGCGGCGCGCCCATTGCTTCATGAATGTTGCACCGTGACAACTCAAACAGATTTTGCGAGCCTTGCCCATAAAATCTTCATCTAAAAAAGCGCTCATGTGAATTGGTGAAAGCCCGGTAGTTTCATAAAAATCCACAAAATGTACGAAGTAGTGCGACTTAGGCCTGACCTTCCAAAGCAGGCGGCGCTCACGAAGGGACTGTACTGCCAGGTATTGGTAAGACGCACTGTGCACACGGCACAGCCAAGAAGCAGTGGTAACATCTCCTGGCGACATCGCCACGGACTTGCATTGGTTCCAAATTGACAATGCTGTGTCCAGCGTCCAGCAACAACAAGCTCGAACTTTTCCGTACATGATTTTGTTTTGCGGCACCAAATTTGAATCGATCAACTGGACCATGACGAACGTGATGAACGCCAACAGGGTCCTCACCCTCCCTGCTTTTATCTGGGAGTCCAGCTGAGGCATAGGCCAGTGTAGGTGATTTGGTCTGCCCAGCCGCCCCATATCGAGCGTTCCAATGCCAAGTTCAAGATCATTGTCTTTGGCCCACGCATGTGCATGGTGAGAAAACGCGAACAACACCTCATCAAAAGGCCTTCCCTGTAATCCATAGTACTTCTGCAGTGAACCCTCTTCCAAGGTGTCGATGATGGCACCCGCGCACAGGTCACGCAGGGTGCCTAGATGCACCAAATGAAGGACATCTAAAAGACCGTACTTCTTTTCAAAACCAGCGACGGCAGTCCACGGACTTGGGTCGTTGTTGTCATGCATGGTCATAGTCGCCCGCCAAAGGGAGCGCAGTGTAAGGTCACCCCAACTCAATTCTGAGAGGTTCTGGGAACATGTTGCCAAACACCAATCGCAGCATTGGTTGCACTTGTAATAGCGAATCAAGCGGTGGCTTAGCCAGTGCGCTTCCATGTCACCCTTCCAAAAACAAAATGCCTCAGGGTAGTGCGTTGAAAACTGAAAGAACACCACAAGACACCCCACATCAACAACAAACACTTTTGTTGTCGGTGTCAATGTTTCCAACGAGCCACAGCTGAAAGAGGCAAAGGTTCACCTGCAAGTTTTTCCCTTGCTGAGTTGATGCCCAGATGGTACCAACAGCACCCGTCCAGATGGCCCCGATCCCAGCAGCGCCCGTCCAGATGGAGCCTGTCCAGATGGTGCCTGTCCCAGCGGCAGCACCCGCCCAGATGCAGCCTGTCCTAACAGGGCAACAGCCCATCCAGCAGACCCAGCCCATCCAGATTCTGCAGCCAGCCCAGATTCAGAAGGCAGCCGGACAATCTGTCGTGCAGCCTGAACAGGCACAACCACGTGATCAGCCTTCACAGGCCAGCTCACCCCAGGAGAAAGTGCAGAAGTTTTTATCGCAGCAGCATTCCCCAGGCCAAGTCACAACAAGTGATTTGGAAGCGTTGGGTTGGCTCTCGCTCAAAAGTGATGCGCCGCACGCATCGCAAACGCACCCTGCACAAACACACCCGGCGCAACCCGCAGCAGGTCCAAATGCTGAAGCGTCCAAGGCAACTTTGCCAGCAAACCCAGCGCAGTCAAGCCCTAACACCAGTCAGCAGGATCTGAAGCGCGCAGCAGCTCCAGGATCGTACACCAGACGGGCAGCAGCCAACTTGATCAACCGTCTGCAACAAAATCCGAGCCGGATGGGAAAGTTGCATCCCACTCTGAAGGACATGGTCTTCAATGAGAACAAGAAGTCAGAGTTGATCTCAGTCCTTTGCGACCAGAGCGGTTCTTTGGAGAAGGTGTCCGCTTTTTTCCAAGCCCAAGAGGAAAAAGGGAATGTGAAGGTCAATCGCAGAAAGGCCCAGCGCCTCACCAAGAAACAAATGCAAGACACCTACGGGCCAGAGGCAGAGAAGGTCATGAAGCAGAAGGAAGAGAATGGTTTGGTGGAAGAGGATGAGAACTTTGCAGGCGGATTGGTCTACTTGTTCATGCAGAAGGAAGATGAGAATGAATCCTACTCGCGCTCGAGCTTCTCGCCTTTGAGCCTAGCCATGTGTTTTGAAACGATTCAAGACCAAGGGTTGCTAGCTTGTCGCTTGAGGCTCTGTCGTGACGCGCCCAAAGTTCTATGTTGAGTCCGACAATGCTGAGATGGTCGCAGGTCGCAAACCTGATGCATCTCAACTGCAGTTTCGCAAATGAAAGTCAAGAAATGCTGTCTACATGGCTTGACCACCTTTCTCAAGCTCGTTGGTTGATTAATGTGTCTTTTTGGTGAAATTCTCATTCGCTTCATTTTTGCACGAGGAGTAGCACGCCACCTCCTTCAAAGCCGCTGAAGCGAGGAAGTGCAGAGTCCAATACAACGTCACCTGCTGGAAGTGTTGCGCCGGAGCATCCTCATGAGCAGGAGAAGCAGCCAAAAAGGCGAAAGACTGCCAAGGAGCTCGGGCCCACGACTGCGCTACAGAGGGGACGAGAGGCTTGCAACAAGTTGCTGGCAAAGAAAACCCAGGCCAGCAACGTGGCATTGACCCTCAAGTCTGTGGTCTACGCAGACGCCTTGTGCGCAGAGATGCAAAACTTCGCTCAGCAGTTCGAGCGCTTTGGATGCACATGCGCCAAAAAGACTTTCCCAGGGGTTCAACCATTCACTTGTCCTTCCCAGGCAGCTCTACCTCAAGATCAACAGGTTGGTGACCGAGCAAAAGAACGAGGATTTGCGAATTTATCATGCCATGCAAAGTCTTTCGTTGATGGTGTTACGCCGTCAGCGTTTTCTTTTTTGGCAGGAGGAGGACTATGTACCGCTGGTGAAGGACATGATTGCCTTGCTAAAGAATTTTAACAAGCCTTTTGGCGCTGCAAATGCCATAGCAAAGCAGGCGACCAAAAAGCCTGCCGCAAAGGGCAAGGCGAAAGCTAAGGCGTAGATTCGCGTAGTTTGCCCTTGATTGCTGACTAGCCTGTCCTTAGATGTGAAGGCCATGGCGGCCATGACAAAATTTTTAGATGTTCCACACAGCCCTGTCCAATCTCTGGAAGAGCTTGCAAATTTGTTTTTTGTTGCGCTGGTCAGCTTTCACGTTTTGCTTTGCAGACTGCGTGGCCGGGACATTGTAGGGGCGGTTCTCCTATGAACCTTGAGCATTGTTTGCTCGGGGATTGAACCAAGTGGGGGTGCAATGGCCCTTATGCAGTTGGTGCTGGCTTGAACTTGAAGTGGAAAATAAGCACGCCAAATCAAGCTATGTATCATTAATAGGGGAATTGCTGAGCTGCCAGCTTTCCATTGGCACATCGAGCTTTACTTTTGGCTTGCACCTTCGCAGGTTGGACGGGGGTCCGCAGGAGCAGCCCCGGAAATATCGTAAAAAAATGAACTTCAGCTGGAAACTATTTTTCCTTATCGCATCGTATGGCCTTTTTACAAAGTAATGGAAGCTTACAAGCAACTTGCTTTAATTTGTTTATGTTGTTTTTCACCATGAAGTTTTGCAGAAGAACGCCAGTCTGAATTCAAGGACTGTGGATGAATTGGATTCTGAGGGGCTATGCTGTGTGGCAGACCGTGTTGCGTCTGGGAATCTCTCCGTGGCTGCAGCAAGCAAAACCTTGAGCGTTTTCACCAAAGATGGAATTACCAAGGCGAGGTTTTGTGGCGGGGAAGTTTTCTCGCACAGGCAGCATGTTTGGTTCAAACAAAAGGCGCGCCTTCCATTTCCAAGGCTTCCCATTTATTTTGAGAGCTCGACGTTATGCGGGTGTGGTTTTTGCGTGCTTTTGTTGTGTTTTTCTTAGATTTTGTCATGTTTAGTCAGAGTTTCCATGGTTATAGTCTAGATATGTTCTTGTGCTCCTGTTTCCTAAACAAAACCAACTTTTCTTGTAAAAAAACTCTGGATCCAACTCTACCCTTCCTTGCCCATAAGCATTCTCATTGTTTCAAAGGTAGCACTTTTTGGGCTTCTCCCTCCACATTCTTTATGAAATGGGCTTCTCCCTCCACATCTTTAGGGTTTAGGGTTTAGGGCGTCTCGGCCGCGTTGCAGCCGATACTCACACGCGAAGATGGCACCACCCCCTTTTCTTTAAAATAGAGGGGGTGGTGGCATCTGAGCGGTTACCGGTTTATCGTTGTCGGTTGTTTTTACCCCACAAGACTTGTGGTGGTAGATAAATTTCCCTCCCGCCGCCAGTTGTGGCAGGCTACCACCCAAATTTCCGCCTTTTAGGGTTTAGGGCTCCGCCCTAAATTCCCACGACCGGATGATTCCAGGAATCTGCCAAGGCAAGACCATCTGACTCCAGTAATCCACCAAGGCCAGATTTGATTTTGCTAGCCCGGGAGACAGCCAAGCGCCACTGAAAGACGATTTGGACAGCCCGAGAGTGCTAGGCCAAAGAGACCGGATGACTCATCTGCCAAGTCACCAGGGAGGCAGGAAAGAACCATTTAGACAGCCTTGGAGGCACCAGGGATGAAGGAAAGGACTAATTGGACAGCCTGCGAGGCACTAGGGAGGCACCAGGGAGGCAGGAAAGGACTAATTGGACAGCCTGGGAGGCACCAGGGAGGCAGGAAAGGACTAATTGGGCAGGCAGCGAGGCACCAGGGAGGCAGGAAAGGACCATTTTGGACAGCCTGGGAGGTACCAGGGAGGCAGGAAAGGACCATTTAGACAGCCTGGGAGGCACCAGGGAGGCAGGAAAGGACCATTTGGACAGCCTGGGAGACACCAGGAAGCACCAGGAGGCACCACGGCCTGTTAAAGGCAATCCTGTACTACTTGAAGTAAGGATGACCGTAGAGGGCTTCCCGCCCCAGTTTTAGGGTATTTACCTTCTTAGGGAAATTCAAGGTATCCTTGTATAGGATTGGCACAGCGATAGCTGTCTTGAGGCAAAGCTAAGCCTTAGAGGCTCTAATAGACCACTCTCCAAAGGCACCACCCATTGTTCTACCATGAGCTGGTGTGATGGGCTGTCGGGTATCTTCAGTGTCTGGCCACCCAGTAATGGGTGGGAACGGCCTAAGCAGGCCTGGGTGGGAATTTAGGGTTTAGGGTTTAGGGTTTAGGGTTTTTACAGTGCCGCGGCGGCGCCTCCCCAAGATATGTCGAGGGGAGGC